GTACTGTGGAATGTGCGCTTTCTGACAGGTTAAAATTCTTAAGCGGGGAGCACAGACTTTTGCATAACGCATAAACCATATACATAAAGAATTTGATTGGTCCATTGACTCATGCATAAGAAAATGGGCCAATGAAATTTCTTATGCACATGCTTCATGCGTTATGCAAAAGTGTGTGTTGGGGCTCTTATATTTAATATCTGTTCCTAATATTTCTCCTATTGTGCGTGATAAAAAGTGCAAGTAGAACATCTGCGTAACTGCAATTTTTTAATGTTAGAAAAACAAAATTCAATAGAATGTAGAAAAACCTTAGAACATATATGTTCTAAGAGAAAAACTGAAAATTTATGAGCGCGACTTTACAATCGAGATTACATTCGACTTTCCGTATCGACGTTTTATGTACCGGGTGTGTGCCATATTGAAGATCTGACTGTACTTCGATCGGTGTCGAAGCGAGCCGTCACGGTTTATTACACAATGAATTGTTTAAATTTAACATTGACGATTTTTATACTTTCTTTAGATGGGAAAAGTTGGTGCGATCTATACTTGATTTAAATACGTGACTGAAATGAGTAACATACGTGGACTTCGATTTTCGTTAGAGTTCTGGTTTGACGTTTTACTTCGTGTCTTTCTGGCAGTGCTATTCGTGTAAGTTGACATTTTTATGGGCGTGCAGTTAAACAATCGATAATAATGTTGCAGTTAATAATGTTATTGTACTTAGTATTCAATTATTAATAAATATGGTCAACACTCCATAATGATCTTTATTAATTAATATTTATGTTAATAATTAGCACAAATATTAGAAATTTTACCGATATATTTTTCAAAAACAAGTTTTATGGCTTTTATTAATAACTTTTACTAAAATTTTTAATATATTAATGGTTTTTTTTTAGAAAGTCATAATATAAGTTTTATATTTATTTTTAATATAAATTTATTACTGTCTAAGAAATAATTCTCTATTTTTTCTAATTATAGTATTAATTAATAATAATTAAGAATAGTTAGAAATTGTATTTACATTACAAAAATTTTATCTTTCATTGATGACTCTTTCATTGATGAATATATTGATATAATCTTTAATAAATAGCAATGACTTTTGAAAAAATACAGAAATATAAATTGTACTTAATATAAATTATTTTTAATACGGTTTATTAATGTGTCTTAAAAAACAATTATATATTTTTTTTCTTATAAATGTGATCATTCATGCTAAATTTGATTTTGATTGGTTTTCAGGGAGCTGGAAAAAGCAGAACCATTTACGAGAAAAATTCATCAAGACGAGCTGTGGTTATATAGAAATCCAAGAACAGATTCATTTGTTCCAACTACAATATTATGGGTATAGATATTGTGTCTCTTCTTTATATGTATGCATCTCTTTAAATATATATGTGTACATATATATTTAGAAAGATTTTAATAAATATAATTAATAATAAAGTAAGTAGAAATTTTAATAAATAAATATGTTATCTTACAATTAATTTACATTAAATATTTTTTTCAGCCTCTTGTATTTATGATGCCGATCGTTGTTATTTGTTTCTTTTTCATAATGCACAAAGATAAAGTCGATTTTCAGCAGTCAGTATTATCTGTAACGTTAGCCCTAGGATTTAATGGTCTTATTACAGATATTTTAAAACTGATAGTAGGTATGTTATTACTGAAAAATTTTGTATGTAATAGATGCATTATAAATCAATAAAAAAGTGTAGTTTTAACAGTATTATTTATATAATAAATAATGTTATCGTTTTTTCTTTCCATCATATTCATTGTACTTTTAGGTCGCCCAAGGCCAGATTTTTTCTGGCGATGTTTTCCGGATGGACAAATGAATCCGGGATTTAAATGCACTGGAGATCCAGTTGTTATTAGAGATGGAAAGAAATCATTCCCGAGCGGACATTCCTCGTGTATGTCAATATTGCGTTATAACATTAGCAAATATAAATATTTCTTACATGTGGACAAATCTATATTTCTCTATATATGTATAATATCTCTATAATTTTACTTATATAAATATATTACTTTTTTTTTATTAAATTGTTTATTTGACTAAATTAATTTGAGTTGCCTTTATTTCTTTTGTTGGAGAATGTAAGTATTTTTCTCAGTGTAAAAAAACATACAAAATAGGATAACATATAATTCTAAATTTGTATAAATTATTTATAAAATATATACTATACTCATAGAAGTAATTTCTGTTCTAGTTGCGTTCGCCAGTTTCGGCTTTATCGCCTTGTATTTAGCCGGAAAATTACATACATTCAGTCTGGCGGGAAAAGGACAATCGTGGAAACTGTGCACATTCCTTTTGCCGCTTTGCATCGCTCTTACCATCGCATTAAGCAGAACGTGCGACTATCACCATCATTGGCAAGGTAATTTTGGTGTTTAAAGTTTTATTGTTAAAGTAATATGTGATACCACATTACGACTTTACATTATAATGACACAGAATTCATTTCAGACGTGGTGATAGGATCGGTAATAGGCTACTGCTTAACATATGTCTGTTACAGACATTATTATCCTCCATTAGATTCGCCATATTGCGATAAACCGTACGTCGCGCTTACGTTACAAGTTCAATCAGATACTGTCAGATCTAATAGGAACGAACAAATTAAGTGGATATAAAGACATTGGGATTATTACTAGTATTACTACGCCATATATACAATATTTTCAACAGTACTTAACACTTTTGTTAAAATCTTTGAGATTTGTATATTTTGTGTATCAGTATATACATCTAAAAATAAATATATGTCTGTACAGAATTCGGATATATATTAGAATTTATATATAAGATTTGTTCGTATAGTTATTTGTGCTGCGTTTTTTGTTTTATTTTCTCTCTCTTCTGTTTAACTTTATTATTATTTAACAAAACGCCAAAATTACGAGATATTCTTCGTAATATATTGGAATAAATTATCAAAGAAATTTAGATTTTTAATTGTAATTTGACTTACTTTTTAATGTTATTGATTATTGTTATATAAGAGTCCTTGAATTTTTCAATTTATTAATTATTATTATTATTATTTTAAAGTGAAGATTTATAGCACGACTACTAGGGTGGGATTAAAAACTTTTCATCAAAGAACTTAGTCATAATAATGTGATATTTTTAGTATATTTTAAATTATTTGTAGTCCTAAGATCTAAATTATATATATCAATAGAATTGTTACCATTTTAAAATATCTTTTTTAATTATTATGACAAATACAGAGGAAAAATGATACTATGTTTATTTAAGTTTATTATGTCCTGTCTATGTAATGTTGTTAAGAGTTTAATTTTTTTTTACTACTAAAAGATACACATACAACGCAAAGGAAATATTGTTGAAATAATCATGTTAAAAGTAGAAAAAACAGTCTTTATTTTTATACGCTTACGTTTAAAATCTAAGGAATAATTTTTATTACGTAATTATTTAACATGTTTGTGTTGTATAACGCTTATTATTTTTCAGTTAAATTTTTTGTAAAATCTTTTCTAAATGGTATTTTCTGCATTTAAAAATGAAGTAAGTATATGAATGTAGAGTTTAAACTAAAATATCTGACTTTGGCTCCGGAACTCAAAATGGAGACAGGTCTGTTTTAAATATACTCGTGTATCCTATTCGTAGGAAAGCTTTCAAAAGCGAATTTTGAAACGGACGCTTTATCGCGCGCCGATCAGCCATTTTGAAAGTGGTGTGGTGGCGCGCGAGTCGTTCGCTTAGGAGCAGTCTATTCGCAGCAGTGTGTTGGCAGGCGTTGTCGCTCTCGCGCCGACGTAACGTTGATGAAACGTCGAAACGCCGCGTTCTGTCCGCATCGCCGCCACCGCCGCCGTCGGTCAATCGCGGGATCGTCCCGCTTCGCGAGGACGTGGCTTGGTGGAATAGTACGTACCGGAACGTTCGCGTGTTCTCGGGATCGCGAGTCGCGTTTTCGCGCAGTCGTTCATACGGCGTTCTCGTCGGTTCATCGCTCGGTAGTTGGCCAGTTCGGTTCGGCCACAGTGTATACAGTAGCGCAACTCTCTGTCGGCACCTCTAATGTTAGTGTTACACAAAATGGAGTGCGCATGCGCGAAATAAGCAAGATGCCCAGTCGCGCCACCTAAACTTCTTTCTCACTTGCTCTTTACTCTCCATCTTTCCATCTTTTTCTAGCTACTCTAGCTTATTTGTACGTAACTACATCGAATTAATCTAAATGTAATAAAAACTTCAAAAAATAGACCATAATGCATTGTAAAATAAAAAGATAAGAAAATATAAGCTTATGTAAAGATCGTATAATATAAATATTATACTGTAAAAAATATTTTAATTAAAGTCTGCGACATATATACAATGCGTTTTTTCCTGTTAGATTGCTTGCGTTTTTGTAAATTATTAGAATTGCGTCATACGGAACGTAGATTTTCTAACTGAAACGTAAGCAATCCGGCAGGAAAACAAACATCATATATCGCAGGTTTAAGATATTAAAATATAAACAACAAAAAGTAAAATTTAATGTTATACGTTTAAGAAAATAATTACTGTAATTATTACATTTATAAACAATATTTAATAATAACTTTTTTTAAATTAAATAAGATAATAATTTTTGTGCAATGGTTGTATAGATTAACTATTCTCTTAGTAATCGTTCCTCGTTTCACTTTTTTCACTATTTTATTTCCACAAACTTTTCGGTCACAAACTAGATTCCGAGTTTCTCAAACTAACACAACTCAAACAGACGGCAATTATACTAATTTCCTTCAAATTTGAGCTTTCTAAGCACACACCTAATCACAGGATCTTTAAACGGAACCATTTAAACGGTCCTGACAGAGAGTGACAGAGAACGGATAAGAAGAAGTGAGAAAGAAGTTTAGGTGGCGCGACTGGGCATCTTGCTTATTTCGCGCATGCGCACTCCAATTTGTGTGACATAAAATCGGGAGAGTTGCGCTACTGCATGTACTCTGTGGTTCGGCATAGTCCGCGCCACGAGCGGAGACTCGGTATCGCGACGTCCCTCCCCCCTTCTCCCCCCTCCCCTCCGCGCTCCGTCGAGGGCGCCGAGGTAAAGGGGAGACCGTCGTGTTTTGTGATACCGTGCGGTTCGCACCACCGCGTTTTACAGCGGTCAACCGCGATCGAAGGAAGAAGAGTTATCGGTGTATCCGCAGGAATACACCCTCACCCGCACCGTGTGTGTGTGTGTGTGTGTACACATACGCGCAAAGTGACATAGTTTGGTACGCTCGCGAGCTGTTGTGCTTTGGTTAATAGAGAAATGTTACTTCTGTCGACTCGTCGCGATGCACGGCGAGGACTCGTAGCGTGAACTGTCATCTCTCTACCGTCGGCGTTCGCCCTGAATGCCTATAGTCCACGTTGTTCCGACGTGATTCTCTCTATCTATCTATCTATCTCTCTCTCTCTCTCTCTCTCGCTCTCTCTCTCTCTCTCTCTCTTTCTCTCGGCGCTGCGACACATCTCCGTCGTCGGCCCGGCCATTCTCGTCGCGCGATCGCCCCGTGGCAGAATCCCGTCTATCATCGCCTATTCGCGATACCTCGGCACGCGCGGAGCGCCAGGCCACAGGTAACGGACGTCAACGGAATAAGATGATCAACATGGAAACGGACAAGATTATCGACGACGTGAGCGCAAGTCTGCAGGTGAGTGTCGAAACCTCGGAGGAACCGCAGCGCGACACTCCGCGAAGTCTTTTCTCCCCCCCGTCTCACGCGCGGAGTAAAAGAGAAAAAGAAAAAAAATTTACCGCCATCTTGTGCCCCCTCACGACCGATCCATCCCGGCACGTGTCCCGACTGCTCGTCGTGTCCCCAACCGCCTTGGATGATTTTTCCGGGATCGTGAATAGGCGTGCTTTTTAAATCGACAGGGGGCTCCACAACGGTCTCATGTCGAGCATCTGTCGTTTGGCGTCCGGGTGACAATCGTCGCTCCGATGCGTCACGGTCGGCCGCCGTGCGTTTTCGTAGTTGTAATTCCTGCTCCGGTCACGCTTCCCTTTCCATTTTGTCGCGTCTTCCGCGTTTAAAGGGAAACGAAGTTGCAATGTCGCTCGGGTTTCCGCAAAAGGGAGAGGGGGGCACTTCATTTCCCTTTAAACACGGAAGACGCGTCGGCAGCCACGGCAACGGACTTGTGTTGCCTCTGTATGTTTATGCCGGTCGAAGGAGGTGAAAGGACGATTAGGGTTGCCATCCGTCTTCTTTTCCCCGAACACTGTCGTTCTTTATTTTTTAGAGCGTCCTGGATCGTTTTGGAGGGAGGGGGAGATCCCAAAGACGTCCGAGATAATTATAACACTGGGAAAGAAATGTTTATTTGACTAAACTAATTGTTTATTCGACTAGTTTTTGAATTAGAAAAATATTGAGTAAATGCAACCGGGATACACTGATAAAAGATTATTCATTTGACTAAATTTATTAGTTCTATGAATTAGACAAAAATTAACAGTAAAAAAAAAACGGGCATTAATCAATGTATTATAGTTGTCTCGTTTCTTTCGTTAGAAAATGTATTTAAGTCAAATATATTTGTCTTAAATGCATACAGCATTTCTTCAGCGAAAGAAATAAAGATGAACTAAGTTAATTTAGTCAAATGAACAATTTTTTTCTCAATGAATCGTTTACAGTTCTAGGGAACCTGTTAAATATTTTGCTCCTTTCTTACCATGTATTATAGTCACGATCTACAATAAATATACAACACGAAAAGAACGGTTTCGTTAAAATATCCAAATATTCGACTCAAATGTGTTTTAATAAATAATTCATACTAAACAATTAATTCTTTTCAGAATTTTGTTTTTTCAGCTTATACGTTATTATCTGCATCAAATCTCGGACGATGTCTGTAGAATTAAATAATTTCAATGGATAATGTCTGATGTAACGTTACAATGTATGTATAGGGTTTGAAGGGGTTAAATCTACACCTATATTTTTTAGAGTCTAAGGACGATAACCCCGTCGTTATTATTGTCATTTTGCGTGTAATGTTTCTACAGGACCTCCGCAAGGGTCTCCTTTCGAAGAACCGGGGACATCCCCGTTCTCGTTTAAATCGCACTCTATCTTTGACGTGAAGTTTTTTTATAGATCGTGATCAATCGTAATCGCGCGATCGTGACTGTGACGTACGCACCAGTAGGTATTACAAATGTTTTGACATTCATTAGATAGCCGTTTTCCTTCTGTCGGACTGGTTTTCATCTTGGTGAGAAAAAAATAGCCAATTACTCCCCGTAACGCGGATGACTCTGCGGTTTATATCTATATTTATTTATGTCGTAGTTTATTTAAATCGATTTGATGCTTTTCTTTTCTTCATGACAGAAACTTCCTGTCATGGAAAGATGGCGATTTCTAATCGCACTTCTCACACCTCTTGGCTTTTAATGCCTTCCCACAAGGCTCGGAGGTCCGTCTTATATTTTATGATACCCGAGACGGTCTACCGTTTCCTGCGATAATAGAAGGTTCATTCATTTTACCTGCGCTTTTTCGTACCTGTGTTTTTCACCTTTCAACGTATCGGAACGAGATAGATGTTTATTTTTGAAATAGACATGTGAATACTGGATGACGAAGTTGCTGAAACTAAATAGCTATGTTATTTTGTAACTAGTAGAACGAAATTAATTAAGTGCTGTACTATATAGAAGAAATTAATGTATACAAATACTCATACTTAAAAAATATTTAAGTAAAAATAAGTATTACAGTAAAAAAAAAAAACTCAACAATAGGTTGCAGTGGTAATAATGGACGTATATATGTATGTTTTCGAAATAATGGGTATCTAAACTTTCGCGATATTGAGGCGCTTTTAAAAACCGTTAAATACATTTTCCATTAACAGTAATAACTGCAGTAATTATGCCTTTTAAAAATTTCAAAAAAATTTGTTTTTCTTGAAAATTATTTATATCGAGATCAAATGATTACAAAATATTAACATATATAAATAAATGTATAAATAAATAATATAAATTAATAAATGATAAATAAATATTAAAATATGTTATATAATAACTGTTTAATTTCAGCAACTTTCCATTATCTTATACATCAAGATGAATATTTGGAATATATTCATTAGAAGTAGAAAATATTATTAGAGAGTGCAAGTGAGAAACAAGCAGATCTAGAAACGCAACATATAATATCTCGCGAGCGACACGTCACATCGCGACACGTTTGATTAGCTGGAATCCGATTGTCCCGCGAATCAGGTCGCTGGAAAATCGATATTTCAGTTCTAATCAATGTTTTACTTTTGGTGTCCTTTATTTTCTTCGTTTCGATCTTGTCGCGTGATGATTTATGACTTCACGGTGCGCACACTCTACCTGCGTTTGCCGCTTTTCCAGAAATATTGACTCGTGCATTCGAGAAATGAACGTGATCGAGTAAATATAACTCTTAATTGACATTTCCGAGTTATATTTACTCGATGAATATCTATTTTTATCAATGTTTTAATAGTTATATAGTATAGATTAACTTTAATCTCGACTTAACTTACTTTTCATCCTTTTTTAGGTTTAAAAATTAAAATAAAAAAGAAATAAATTGAATACCGAGATTAAAGTTAACTTACTTTCATAGCAATGAACACAATTATCTGCTTCGCATGAAACGAAACTCGTTTGTTATGTGCAGACTGGCATGAGTATTATTTATCTCGGCTCTTTGACATAACTGTAATTCTGTCTATCATAAAAAGAAAACACGGATATTCAATTTAACACGACCTATTGTTCAAAAGTATTTTCTTCCATGCTTTTTATACGCAAAGAACACGTCAATTATTATTTATTTTTATTTATTTATTTATTTTAATCTTTGCCTTGTGATGTAGAATGGCTTTCGGTATACAATTTCCATTTTTATATTTACATATTTCCAGCTTATCTTGCTTAATACGTCTAATTTATCATATTTATATCTATGTTATATACCAAAGAATCAAAATAAAAAACAAAACAAATTGAATACTGAATATTGCACTGAAAAAGTAATGTTTTGTTGATGTACGATTAAAAAATTTAGCTAGATACAGATCTGAAAAATAATTTTGCTGGACCATCAAAACAATTAGGTAGAACGACAGAATCGATGGCTAGAATATAAAAATATTTTGCAGCACTGCTCATCATATTAAAGATTCCTGCAAAATTATTTTGATGGTCCAACAAAATTATTTTCAGACCTGTATCTAGTCAAATTTTTAGATTCTTAAACAAAATTGCTCTTTCAGTGTGAATATAAAGCCAACTGCTAAATTTCTGTTTTAATTAAAATAGTAAACTAAACATGAATGTTCTTCTTCTCCCATCTAATTCAAGAACGTCAATTATTAACCGACATTTATTTCTCGCTTCGCTCGTTTTCCGGACGTCCGCTCGCGCGTCTAAATCCCGTCGCTCGCTTCTCGTAATTTACGACAGATTGATTAGCGACTCAACCGCTCGTAATTAATCCATACAACGAAACAATGCCTCTACGTTGTTACGTTACTGCACGTGCACGCGAGCGTGTGGACTGAGCCTCGATAACAGTCGTTATTCCGCGTAATTACGCATGTTAGTTGCAAAGCAACGCCGCACCGGAAGTGCACCTACGACTTCTTATCCCGTGCTCGGACGACGGTCCCTCCTACGCTCATTGCGCTCATAAATCATGTATCGCCCTAAACGTACCAGCCACGCACGCTCGCGTATTCTACCGCAATGGAAAAATACACGGCAGACTTCATTTTACTAGCAGGGGGAAAAAATTGATAGGAGAGGTGGCGAACCATTCCAGTGATATTTATATAACTGGTATTAAAATATTTCCTTTGCATGTCTTTCAAAAAAATACCCAAAAATAGTCTTTTTTAAATCAAACTTTTTCAAAGACAAGAAACCCGTTTATCTTTGACAGTGGTGTGCTCGCAATTTAGTGTACCCCTTCGTAATTTCCGTATATGTCCGATAAACAACGAAAGCTATTTCAATGCGCGCGGACGAACGCTTCCATTGTGCTATATGATTGCAAAAAAAGAGAAAGAGAGGAACAGATCGTGATCCTTGAGCGAGAAGGTCGTGCGAATTTACCTACGTCAATACCCACGAACATTGTTCTCGGCTGGTTAATGTGCGATACAAGTTGATATTCCAGTTCGGATACTTCCGTAATTTTATCGTCGAAACTATATATATGAATATAAATATATAAATATACACTTACCTTTGCTATGTAAATTAAATGACTAATCGATGTGGAAATTTAAGAACTATTTTACCCTTTTTTGTTTTTAATGAAATACCTACTTTTCGAAGATTTATGTGTCAATTATGTTAACCTGGAAATAATTACTTAACTTTTTGTAACTATTAAATAATTAATAAGGTGTTCTTACCTAATTAAAAGTCACTGTTATTTGTTGTACTACAATTTAATAATATTTGAGATTATTATTATATATATATATATATATATATATGTATAAAAAAAAAAGGACAAAAAGGGGAAGAGGCCTATAGACGTCCTATGCTCCACATGAGGAGATAAAAGGAGTCATCATCATCATATATGTATATGTATTTACAATATTTAAAAAAAATTAAAAAAAAAATAAAAATAGAATTCTC